AGAGAGATGGATTCCTGCACCCCACAATATTTGGATTGTTAATGAGGCTCAGTTCTGAGTGGAGCAACTCGGCAATTGGGCAGACCTTTCCTTCTGGGCTCCTCTCACCATGTAGTAAGACCTCACTGAGGGCAACAGTTACTCATTAGCTTGAATGTGTGTGGATGTGATTTCCTCACCCATTAAGTTATTATTCTTAGGTCTTATGTTGCAGGGCGGCAGCCACTCCAGACGGGAAGAAAGCCAGTTACAAATATATCAGTTTAATTTAAGAAAGCCACGCAAAAATAGCATATACGTTTATGTGCCTGTGGGAATCCATTAACGCTGATCAAAAGCAATGCATCAAGTATAGCCCATATTTCACAATCTCTGCTATTCCAGATATCAACATATTAATCAAAGAGTTTTCACTAATTCATTTATAGAAAGCAGCAGGTTTTGTTTACAGCCCAGTCGTAAGCGTATGTTTTTGGAATTAAGATGTAATTGGGAGAAAGCCCTATTGGGCTCAGTGGGGCTTATTTCTCACTAGACCTGCATTGGACATGTAACCTAGAACAGCCACAGAATCTAAACATTAGCAGCACTTATTTCAAAACACTTTGTGATCCCAGGTGCATGAGTTATCAATCCTATTAATATGGGCAGAACCTCAATCAACCACTCAAAATAAAACCCTATGCACACCTACCTAGACAAAGGTCCCATTGAACTCAATGGAGCTTACTTCAAGGGAGGCATGCACAGGATTTCACCATGTGACTGCAATTCTATGCACCCTTATTCAGAAGCAACTTTCCCTGAATACATGGAAACTCATTGACTTCTGAGTAAACAGGCGTCGGGCTTTACAAGCCCCATGTCAGAAGAGCTCCTGAGCATACGCAGAGAATTATAAAGGAAGCCAAAGAGATCATTTCCATTAGACACCAGCCAACTCCCTTACAGGCTAATATAACCAATCACAAGGGTGAATACAATATAGGATCTACTCTGCTCACTTACCACTGTTGTCTGTGAACTCCAACAACTCAGAGTGCAAAGAGGAAAGGAGATCTGGGCTCCCAGCGGCTGCTTGACCCGCACATGTCACAGGTGCACTCTGGAAAAGGGAGGAGGTGACACTAATAATAATAATAATAATAATAATAATAATAATAATAATAATAATAATAATAATATTTATACCCCACCCTCCTGGATGGATGTATACAAAGATTAAGACATATAGGCAAATGGGGAAAGGTTACACGGAGCAGAATTTATTTATGGACTCTCTGTATTGCAAAGTCCTTCTTAACGCCCATCAGCATTATTTGGGGTGGTCCTGCCGCGGAGATCACCGAATACTGGCTTCACTGCAGTTTGCAAGAGAGAAAAAAGAGAGGAGGCTTTCGCACAGCTGTCCTGGGAGAACCTACCTGGAGCTGCGCTTGGAAGAGCAGCCAAAGCCACAGCCCGCCAGGCTGCCGGACGGCATCCTCCTCTCACGCCAAGCGGAGCTCCGCAAACCACCCCTAGCGACGGAGCAGCCCGGACGCCGGGCGCCTGGCTCCTGTTTTGGAGAGGGAAGCGGAGCGCGCTGCCAGGGTGGCCCGAGAGCCGCATGCCCCGGAGCGGCAGCCTAAAGCGCAGGCATGGCAGGAATGAGCGGAGCCCTCCTTCACTTGGCTGCTGCGGGAGGGGGACGCCCAGCGGCTAAAAGGTGCCTCGTCGGGAGGGGCGGGCGGGGGCGGCGGGCTGCGCTGGCGAGGCAGGAGGCGGCAGGTCGGGGCTGCGCGGCGCGCCAGGTGCGGCTCTCCATGGCCAGGCGCCCCAGCTGCGCTCCAGCGGCGGCAGCAGCCTCGGTTGGGCAGGGCGGGGAGGGGGCAGCCGGCCGGCTTCTGCCGAGGGGGCAGCTCTCCCTGTCCCGCCCAGCACCTGCTGCTGCTGCTGCCGCCCCCCTACTCCTCCCACGTCGAGGCGAGGGACGCCCCTCCGCAAAGGAGAGAGGGGAGGGGCGTGGGATTTTGCGCGCAAGCTCGCCGACTCTGCTTTGTCCTCGCGGAGCAAGAGGGGCGGGGGCCGGCCAAATTATGCAGACAAGAGTGAGTATTTGTGTGTGTGTGTGTTGTGTGTGTGTGTGTGAGAGAGAGAGAGAGAGAGAGAGAGAGAGAGAGAGAGAGCGAGCGAGCGAGCCAGGGAACCAGGGGTTATTCCATGCCCATTTCCCCTGGAGAGATCAGCTTTGCTGCCCAGGGTTTAACTTTGCAAAATAGTACTGTATATATGGAAAACAATAGGTGAAAGTGCTCCTGAGCAGGTAAAGAGTGCGCTTCTTTGCCCATCTCTCAGAGAGGGAGAGAGAAATCCTCCATTTTTCAAAAGCAAAGCTGGTCCTTCTCTAGGGGGTTTAGAAAAGACTTGATAATAAAGGCAGCTACAGTCAAGCTTAATTTACAAAACATTATGTAAAACAGTCAGGTTGCATTATTCTTTAATGAGCAGGTAGGTTCTCTTTAGTCTTGGCCTTGAAAATGGAATATTTTTATTACCTTACACAGTGAAATGAGGCGTCAGTTTTCTCCCGAGCATTCACACACATGAGAATCTTGTCAAGATTTATTGTCGAGCTCTTAGCATCTTTTTTTAGATGAAAGATTCATACAAGAATATCTCAGAACCCAAGTTTCACACACTGATTGATGTCTGTGGTCTCCTGCTGCGAGTAATACTCCGTATTTGTTCAAATTAGTTTACAAGACTTCTCATTTCGGCTCATTAAAAACAACTGATGCAGGATGCTAATGATTTATAGAACTAAGGTGAATTTCATATATCCCCTTGGAACAACGCCCAAGGCTACAATCCAATACTGCCCAACAATAGCTTTTTAATAGGTACAGCATCAGTTTTCTTACTATACATTTCTGGTGTGTAGTGAACTTGTGCCTATAACAGGAACTTCCCTGCCAGCTCTCCCTGTGTGGATGGCATCATGTTCTCTCTAGTGTGAACCAGTTTTTTTCCATGGCGCTAGCATGAAACTGAAATCTCAAATTCCAGAAGCTTTAATATTGTGGTGTGAGAGCTTCCATGACCACCCAGATGTAGATTCTTAGCTCATCTTGTGTGGCCTGCTTCATATATTCCTGGCAGGAACATGGCTGCTACTGCCAGCAACTGCTCCTATGCTACTTTCATCTTATAGTTGGTGCAGATGGCATGGATGTGTATCATGATGATGGCACCCACATGATTAGACGATATGTCATTGGAGAGGTGTGTTCCTACCCACATGCATGAAAGCTGTATATTGCCATGAGATTGTGTCACTGCCAGCAAAACAGACAAAATGTGCTTTCTATAAGTTGTCTGTCTCAATAGCCAGTGCTAATATGCAAAGGTAAACAGGCCATTGCAGATCTAGCAGTACAGACAAAACTTTCATATCACCTGACATGACCTCAAGCATAGTGCTTTTCAATGGAGCCCATTCTTGGAAATCTGATTTTTTTCCCCTAATTTGGATTATTCATCAGCTAACAGTTTTCTAACTTTGCAGTCCCAAACACATTTAGTAGTGGGTAAGCCTCACTGAAGGGACACGGGTGCGCTGTGGGTAAAACCTCAGTGCCTAGGACTTGCTGATCGTAAGGTCAGCGGTTCAAATCCCCGCGGCGGGGTGAGCTCCCGTCGTTCGGTCCCAGCTCCTGCCCACCTAGCAGTTCGAAAGCACCCCTAAGTGCAAGTAGATAAATAGGTACCGCTTTATAGCGGGAAGGTAAACGGCGTTTCTGTGTGTGGCATAGGTGCTGGCTCACCAGTTGCAGCTTCGTCACGCTGGCCACGTGACCCGGAAGTGTCCTTGGACGGCGCCGGCTCCCGGCCTCTTGAGTGAGATGAGCGCACAACCCTAGAGTCCGGTCACGACTGGCCTGTACGGGCAGGGGTACCTTTACCTTTAAGCCTCATTGAACTCAGTAGGACTTACATTTGAGTAAACAACCCTTTGAAGTGGTTGAGAGCCCTCACTCCTTTCCTTTCATTTGGGGAGCAAGAAATATTAGATCCAAGAGCCGACATTAACATGAATTAGGTAAGTCAATTTGGTTTCCTGGAGTGCTGCCAGACTGTCATTATTGTGGTAAATTAGAGGAGAAACTGGCAATCTATGTATTCACTATGGAACATCAACCCTCAGGGTTGAGAATATCATCAGCAACTGAAAATAAAACCTAGGCAGAACTTGGATATTTTTGGAATTACACTTCCTTATAGCTATTTTCCTTTATGTTCTTTTTACCACTGTCTTGTACAGCAGGGCTGGGGAACCGGTGGCCTTCCAGATGTTGTTGGACTTCAGCTCTCAACAACCACAACCAGCATGGTCAGTAGTCAATGACAATGGCCGTTGTAGACCAGCAACATTTAGGGAACCACTGATTCCCCATTGATGTTGTAAGAATGGTGAACAGATAGCATTTTATCAGTGGTGGTTGGTTTCACAGCACGGTCCGATACATGTCTCATCAGAAGTAAGTCTCTAGTTTGGAGATGGTATT